CGGCCTGATTAATTTTGGGTTAAAATCTGTTCATATTAATTCTCTAATTAGCATAATAATTCATAATTTGTTGGTTCTAATCACATTTTAATGAAACTTGGTACATATACAATAATACATTACGCAAATCTTATTAGTTTTACATTGTGCAGAGCTTATTAGTTTTACACCTAAATCTGTTCATATTAATTACTTTATTTGCATAATTAGTTTTCAGCTTTTCCATCAATATCTCAAGTACAAGTAATGTTGAATTAATTTTTAATGTATCTCCAATACACTACTTTCTACTCTACAACGGAGCTATATCAGCTGACAGTCTGCTTGTTACATTTTTGACTCCTTGAAAATGGCAAGTCCACTTGCTTTGATACTATATAATTATGTATCTTCAATTCTCAATCATCCACCATAGACTCCGATCAGTCAAAATGACTGTTCGTTTCGTTCATTTTTACCAATGTGTTTTTGGAAATGAATAGGAAGAAAGGGTTGCATGCCTGAGGCTCCTTACTTCCTGTTTTGTCACCCGTAAGTATGGGGCGGTCGTGCGGCAGTTGTCACCAGGAAATACCAGCTTGGAACCCACATAGCAAATGCTATTTGTATTTGGACTGTGTGCGGGTTTCGGTTAAAAACCTGGCAGGCAGGCCTCCAATATCGGAGGGGACCAAGCAGGGCAGGACATTTGTTTTGTACTCCCCTGCACTCTGCCAGCCAGGGATCGTCTGTCAGATCCATTGACATTATGCATCACTCCTCCTTCAAGGACCCGCATACGATCTCAGAGGGGACTGGCCGGCCATCAGAGGTGTCTTTGGCACGTCATCGCTCAATTTTTAGCTCCGCTGTCGACTTTGTCGAGCGGAGCTTATCATATGAGTGATTGTCCGTCTTCTGTCGTCCGTCTCCGTGTCAATGTTTTACTTTTTCAACTTCTTCTTGAAAACTACGAGCTTGAATGTTTTGATACTTGGTGTATATGTACCTTGGGTGGACCTCTCTCAGATTTGTTCATTTCATGATCATATCTTCAATTCTCTAATTTTGGTGAATATTTTTGTCATTTTTGGTAAAAAGTGATATTTTCGACTTCTTGTTGAAAACCGCAAGTCTAATTGCTTTAATATTACATATATAGGTACTACATGTGAATCTCTCTCAGATTTGTTCATTTTGTAATGATATCTTCAATTCTCTAATTTTAATGAATATTTTTGTCATTTTTGGTAAAAAGTGATATTTTCGACTGCTTGTTAAAAAACGCAAGTCCAATTGCTTTGATATTAAATATATAGGTACTACATGTGGACT